ACTCACAATTATTGTTTCACATTCTCATTGGTGCTAAAATCATCATCTTACATTTATGTTGTGAAATGTCAAATTTCTTAATTGTCATAAAAATATTTTAAAAGTTTCTATCGATAATTTAACTTCTTCTTAAATATAATCATAATCATTTATTTCGCTATCTGAAAATTTAAAGTGAAGGATGAAAAGCTTTTAAATTTCTGGTTTGCTATCTGAGATACTTCACTGCACTTACTTATTTATTGCTTGCTGACACTATTGTTGTTGCATACCTTGAAATCCCCAATTTACCAGCACATCTAAAGTGGCAACCAAAAAAAATCTGCACTTTATTGACAGCTTCTTTCGAGGTAGTAGTGAGCACCACTGCTTCACCACAGTCTGCAAAATCCAAGCCTATATGTTCATTCCAATTTAACAATTTGGTCCCAAAACTAATGTGAAATTTAAGAACATCCATGTGCTTGGCTTTATGCTTCTTGGATTAAAGAAATAGGATGGCTGAAATTTATGTCAAATCTCTATGAAAATGATGCCTTTTAGAAGCTTAAAAAAACTTTGGAAAATTACAAGTTACACAGTAACAATTTGACCATTTTTAAAGCACTTTATTTTCAACTGAGTTGGCAGATTTGAAAGTGTTATAATGCTAAATCAAATCCTCCTGGCAAGAACAGTTATACTGTATGTAATTTTGAAACTTTTTTTCAGTTTAATGTTTCCTTTTTGTACATTTGGCTTCCAATTTATAACTTCCAATTACGGTACAATCATTCCTCTGTATCTATGAGGGTTCGGTAGCTGAGAACCCCTGCGAATGATAAAACTCACAAATGCGAAGCTCGTTTAAAAAAGGTTAAAAATCACAGATACATGGATGGGGGAATTCGTGATTGGTCATTTCGCCGATACAGATGGTTTACCGTACACTTCCAATTTATGTACGTAAAATGTAGTAATGCATGAACAGAAATGATATCAGCATGTTTTTAGTGGTACTTATTGTCAGTACAGACTCGATGGACCAAACAACTTTTTCTGTGTTGTATGACTCAATGAGAAGACAGCATACAGAAGGGATCAAAAGAGGAGAGTAAGGGAGGAGTGGTGGAGACAAGACTAGTAGTGAGAGAAATAAGAAGAGGAGGATTGGAAAAGAGAAGGGGACAGCTGAGGAGTAGAATATGAGAAGAGGGGTTGATGGTGGTAAAATATACAACAATAATTGAATGGTTACAGTACAAAAATGAGTTAATTCTTCCCATTTCAGTTCTAAATGTCTGACTCTTTATGCTGAGACTATAATCTCTGGCTCTAGACTCGCCAACCAAGGGAATGTCCTTTCAAAATCTACAGACAAGACCTTTAAAATATTTATATATATTTCAATGAGTTCAGCACTGTTTCTTCTAAACTTCAGAGTAAAAACAACCTTCTACTTTTGATCTCCTTCCCTCCCCTTCCCTCCCACACCTACTCATCTTTTTCACTCCTTTCTCACTCCTCTTCTTCCCCAGGTTCCTGCTGGTTTCTTCCAGATAACAAAGAACAATATTGCATAGGAACAGGCCCTTCAGCCCTCCAAGCCTGCACCAACACATTTTGCCCTTCCATACTAAAACTGGCTTCACTTACAGGATCTGTATCCTTCTATTCCCTCCCTATTCATGTATTTGTCCAGATGCTTCCTGGAAGCTGCTATTGTGACTGCTTCCATCACTTCCTTTGGTAGCTCCTTGCAGGCACTCACCACCCTTTGTGTGAAAAACGTTCCTCACACATCTCCCCTCAATCTTATCCTCTCTCTATCTTAATCTTTTTACTCTTCTTCAAATGCATTCCTTCTACCCTTGCTCCTCTTCCTCTCATTTTTTCCCCTGCCCCTTCTCTCTGCTGCCTAACTTCCCTTCCCCTCCTCTTCCCATTACCCCTTCCATCACTTACTCTCCCTCCTCTTGTATGCATTCTATCCAAGTTTATCCTTTCTCCTCTCCAATCCTTTATTTTCTACCTCAGTCCACTTCCTGAGATGCATTCCATTTCTCTGTCTGTTCCTCTTCTCACTGTTTACAGTATACCCTTTTATCACTCTCATGCAGCTCCGTTATCCCTCTTTAACTGTTGATGGTGAAACATCTGAAGCAATGATCTTCAGTATGTGATCCACAGTCAACTAGAGGACATACTTGTCTTTCTTGCAGCCAAGAGAAAGGAAAATAACCTTTTAATCTAGGCTCACCCACTGGTGATAAAATGGTATCAGAGATAGTAGAAACTGCAGATGCTGGAGAATCTGAGATAACAAGGTGTAGAGCTGGATGAACACAGCAGGCTCCTATGATGCTGGGCCTGCTGTGTTCATCCAGCTCTACACCTTGTTATCTCACCCACTGGGGAGCTGGTAAGAGCCCCAATTCACTTCCTTTGAGGAAGACTCAGCAGTCAGGCACTTAAGGGACCAGCAGCAGGCCACAAGGACTGAGTACTTCTGAGAAATCCTGCACCGAGTGTTTTCTGGCTAATCCACATTGCCATCAACATCATCAGAGAAGCAGTAGTAGCTATTAGCAAGACACCCACCAGAATCTAAGGTCAGTAAGTGGCCCATGGACCACAGGTTAGCAGGTGAGAGGCATAGTCAAGGAAGTCGGAGGAAAGAGTTGGCAATGGATCTCAGAAGCCTTCCTTCTTCTCGATGCCAGACCTCTTCATCAGGCAGTGTCTGTCAATTTGGGTCTGCCCCCACCCTAGGAACCCTAAAGCAAACAGCAGGTGATTGCCTGGTCATACCAGTGGTTGCATTTTTAAACTAAAATTTTCCAATCCAAACACTCAATTTGTTATGCAATGCCCAGGATGGTCCACTTGCTATTACACACAAAATTTAGTACTCATTGAATGTAGTATCTAAAAGAGAATTAAGTCACAACTGTTTCTGATTTGGGACAAATTCATATGCATCTTCTGCATATTCCCAGCAAAGAACAACTGATGCTTACATATGGCTTTCACACGTTTAAAATCAAATGGTCATTTATGTATGTACAAAACAACCACAGCCTATACTGAGCATTAGAAGACAGAAATAAAACATGATCATTATGAAATAATTTATTCATTAGGGAGCAACCATAAACATAGTAAATTGCACCGACTGATTAGTAGTTGCATTTTTTTCGGGAAAAAGTCTGCCCAAAAAATCCTACCCTTGTCTCCTAGATTAACCTCGCCTACTATTTCTTACTTCTCCCTATTTCTCCAGAAGCATGCCTTTTGAACATAAACTTTGGGCTCCAAAGGTTTTCACTTGTCATTTATTTCTCAACATTATCATCTTCTTGGGGCGCCCCGTCTTACTCTGGGCTTAGTATATGTTTTGTCTTGTGAATCTTGGTTTTTTTGATGTCAACAATTTTCATATTCCACCCTTCCCAAAAATGAGGAATACACCATGAAAAAAAATGGCACATACATTTACTATCCGTAACAATCATGGATTCTATTCCAAGTCCACACTCCGCAACTGTGCTGTCATCCTCCAACTGTATATGGCCATGCAAGAGCTTCAAATGACAGGGCTCCAAACTGAACGGCTCATAAGAGGTCCTGTTAACCTCGTCGATCAAGTTTATTTTCACATCTTCTATTGTGTCGGTCGGTTTAGCATCGACAATGACTTGACTTCCATCTACCATCATAATAGTTAATTCAAAGACACTTGAATCATCATCGTCTTCGTCAAACATCCTGGTTTATGTTATTTTTTTAAAAATGTACAATAATTAAAAATCGGCCAATATTTCGTTTCTCAGGGAGCCTCTTTCTTTCTCGAAGGCAGCCCGTTGCGTTCGCGGAAACCACCCTCGAGCTGAAGCGGCGCCGTCGAAGTATCAGCAGCGAAGCAGCCGGCCAGCCGCAATTGAGCATGCGCTCCGACACGCGGCACCAACTGTCAAAACCCGGCGCGTGCTGAAGCTGTTATTTAAATGAAGGAATTGCGCGTTCAGGCCGGGGCTAGTGCAACATTGAAAGGAGAAAAGGGGAAGGAATTCATCATACTTCAAATATTTTATACATGAAAATACAAAGCAATAAAATAGTTACATCAAATTACAGTGAAGTGCAACCCCCTTCTTCACTGCACCTTCTTCCAAATCTGCGACGCCAGTGATTTGAAGTGTCCCATACAAAGTTCGTTGGGAATCTTTTGGTGTTTGTAGACCTACAGATCATCCTGAGAGACTATATGAGAGCTACACTACATTAGGAAGATAAAACCCTGGGTCCATTGATTATTTCAAATATGATAGATTTTCTGTAACCGCAACGTTACAACGTAAGATCAAATATAAAGGAGCCGTTGCCCCTTTTGCCAATTATAACACAATTTACAAGGCTCCCGGGAGAATCTCGGATTCGTGAGCGGTGGTTATGCTGACTGGAGATTTCGCAAGTAAACGTGCTGTCTTCACTCCTGGAGGCAGGAGTGATGTTGTCCAGTCAATAGGCTTGTAGAACTTGAAGACGGCATGCAGTGCATTTGATGTCGGCTCCTCACCGGCCAGATAGATATTGTAAGATCCTTCAATTGTAAGACCCTTAAATTGTAAGATTTCGTACGTAAGGTTTTAAATGCAGAGGGACGGGAAGTACGCCCGCCAAAATCTGAGGATTTGACCCTATACAAAAGGTTTACAAGTCATCTAATTTCGATGATACGGCTAGCAGTAGATCTAGTCCACCGAACAAATCGGGCCAAAACGCAAAATACCAGCAGCTGGTCCAGCAGGTTACACAAAGGTGGAAGGGGTTGGCTCTGTTCCAATATTTGCCAGATGCAGTGAAACATAAGAATTGAACTCTCAAAAGGTCAAGAAGTAAAATCGTCAAGTTCGGTTTGAGGCTAGCTCATGCAACATTGCCCAATATATGTGAGAATCAGAAGGTATCCATATTTCATATATAGGACATGTAAAATATTAAATCAAGTCACTAAGATATAGTTTTAATCAAATGTTTATTGCAGTCATTTCCTATTCTTTGAACGTGTTTGTATTCAAAGTAAGGGATTTCTAATTATATTCTATAATAACTCCGCATGAAGGCAACACGTTACAATATCCAATGACATCCAGGAGATATCATTACGGGCAAGCACAGAAATTGAGTGTGTTTGAAGTCAAATTTAGATAAACTAGTCAGTTAGTATAGTTGCTAATTAATCCAGTTCTTGTATTCAATTCGGATACACTTGATGTGAAGCAGTCTGTTTTCCCTAAACGTTTTAATATTCACATCAGAAATTCTAAACTCAGCTCCAGAAAGTTTTCCATTGTTGGTGATAAAAATCACAAGGATCCAGGACAGTTTGCCATATAAACTGCATGTTGTATAAACAACGATAAAGCACAGTTCATCCGAGTGTGTCAATGAATCTAGTTTTTTTTAACACACGTGATATAGAAAATTAGGTGACAAATTCAGCTTCCACCTTCTTAGAGTCACAGGAAAATTAGTTTGTAAACTGATACACCAACAAGAAACTTGTTATTTACTTACGAAGTTATGCTGAGGATCAGTAAAAAGTGATTGATGATCATGTTTGAATCCACTCAACTTTGCTCAATCATGTGGGTCGTCACCAAAATATTCTTCACAGTGAACAAATTTAGTTCTTCACACTGTATTAACTGAATAACTTTGAATGTATTTTGTGCTTCTCGGCACAACAGAGAAATTGTGAAATGCTGATTCTCAAAAATCAATGGCTGTAGAAAGTTCATTAATTTTATTAATGGATGATTTTAGTTTCTTTGAAAAAATCCTTTAACCTTATCACAAGTGCAACTGAAGCCTCATGTACATTATTATTCTGGGACAAAATTACTTCATCCACAATAAAAGATAATGAATCAAGGTATTTCTTACGGTGTTATAATGTACACATATGTTGTAACCTATTTCTTTACAGCGTATCATGAAATACAACAGTACTGCCTGATAGATCAGATTACAGCATAGCTGTAGTTTAGTTTTAGACATATAGGGTAGAATCTTATAGAGGCCTGAGCAACATGGGCTATGGCGAGATTTGTGGCAGAATCAGATAAGAAGTCCAGCAAGGCTCATCCTGACATTAGCAGCTATTGCTGCATCTTTTATGCATTTGCCATGCTGCAAGTTGCCAATTATGGGGAACCATAGCTTGTTAAATGCCTCAATAATCGTCAGCTTCCTATCTTACCAAACACACAAACTAGAAGTAAAGAAATCTCAACATGGAAATCAGAGCAGGTGCCTGGCAACTTCAGCTCACCATTGGCTGTAAGGAACCCTGTTACTCAGCACCAAACAGCATCTCAGGGCACAATCCATGGACACCAGCCACACAGCCCTTGTCAACAGACAGGGGCATCCGCCATTTGCCAACCCCCAATGATCATCATGGCACTTCTCCTATTCACTAGCAGGATGCTGAAGAACCACAGGCTCTTGTTGCAGGGTGCACCAACAATTAAGTTTTGAAGTCTACAACAAAGAAAAACTTTGCACACAAGGATTGGCACCCAGCTCATAGATTGGATCAGGCTGCAACCCTGGATGGTTCAGTTGCTGGCTATCAGTAAAAGATCGTATTTGGAGATGGCCAATTGCTTGCAGGGGCTGTGATGATCCCCTAATGGAATATGACAACATGGGTATCACCAGAGAAAGAGTAGCAGCAACTTAGAGACAGTGTTTTGACAGGATGTGCGAAGAACAGGTAAACTGTATGGCATGATGGTTAAATGGTAACTGGAGTGAGAGAACAGGGTGGTACCTGCAAGGCACTGTCAGCCATGTGCCGTGAAATGTATGGCTTTGTGGCAGCTGTGCCATTATGTTGCTGGTTGAGGGAATCACTCGGCTGCCAACACTTGACCAGGTGCACAGCAGCCTTCTAAAGATGACGTGAGCATGGGGGATACCAGCCTGTCAGCGGATTTCCACCAAGTGGGGAGTTCTTCTGGAAAAAACACATGGCAAAATGGGGCTAGAATCAGATGTGAGGTACATCACAGTGGTGGGATAGGTAGTTAATGAGGCATTAAAAAATGCCAAAGAGCTATATTTGCTGGAAATCAGAAACAACCAGAAATTGCTGGGAAAATTCAGCTGGTTGAGCAGCATCTGTGGAGAGAAAGTAGAGTTAACTTATCGGGTCCAATGACCCTTCTACACAACAGTTAAGGAAGCATATTTGGAAAAGATATAGTAAGAAATCACCCTGGACCTCATGGCCAGAGTCCTTCCAAAAACTCAAGACAACTCGCACTTAGCCAACAAATGTCATAGTTTGATTATGGAGTCTACCAAACGGTTGAAATGAAACTACCTCAGTAATTAATTGATTAATATATTTGGAAACACTAATAAAATTTCTGAGCACATTAAGTAAGATTTCTGAATACAGTATTCATTATTATCAGTGAAAACTGTTAAGATGGAACAAAGTTTTGACTTCAGGTGGCAATCTTGCTTTGATCTGGCAGTTTAAATCTGAAACTGAATCCTTGTAATATACAGAATCATTTGTAAATCAACTGTACTTTTGACATGCAATGTACAAAATAAATTACACAATTAATAAATGTTAAATCATTAGAAGTCAAAAAAATAAGCTTTTTGTAAATTCTGCAGACTGGCTTGTTCTCCATCTTGTTATTGTCACAGCACATTTCGCAGTTCCTTCTCCAACAATAACTATCCATTAGATACTTTGTGAAAACACAGAAAGTTATGTTAGATACAGGATTTGGCCAAAGATCATTCATTGCATTCATCTTTCAAAAGTCTTTTTTTTTTAATCAGAGCGGAAAAAATCATTCTCAGAAGGTTCTGGTCAATGTTAATATTATAGCATCATCTCTTGATTGAAGCCAGGTATGCATACCAGAAAAGAGCTACAAGATTAGCAAACAGCACACGGAACTGTAAAACAGCAAAATAATCCAATAATTAACAGGAAATTTCATTGTTACAGTCACAATATTCATATTCTAGTCACTAGAGTTTAAATTAAAAGCAGATCAATACCATGACTGGCCTAGCATTACTCCCTTGTCGTTGTGGGTTTCAGGCTTGCCTAACAGGGTTTGTAAATAATTCACTCAAAACAAAAAAAAAATGCAATCAGTTCCCTATTGTCCTGCAACAACAGACAACTGATGAAAACAGAACTTCTCACCTGAGCAGGTGTGGGGAGGGGGAGAAATTCAAAAGGCTTCTCTCCTACCATAAGTTTCAGACTCAAACTCATTTAATTACCTGAGGAAAAATGTCTAAATATTCCCCCATTCCCAAAACTAATCAAGAAAGAGTCCAGGAGATTTATCCATTTTGGAAAATTTAGGCCAAATCAATAGGTTACAGAGTGCTATATCTGTTAGGGACCAAGCCTGGTAACAGTTCTTCACTGCAGTTAATTGCAGTCTTGCATGTTAACTCTAGATATTACTGACAAATTTGGGATTGTGAAGATCAATTATTCATCATTAAGACGCACAAACAATGCGATTAGACATTTAGGAAGTAAAATAAGATTTACATCTGAATTGATAAATTCTAATCTCTTTATTTATAAATACAAAGGATTCTCCTTCTCCATCTCTCCACTCATCTGAGGTCTGGTAAACCATCAGATTAAACCACAACTAGTCATTCCTCTCTACTGAGAGAGGAGCCCCATGGACTGGTACTGACTTTACCATTTTATAAACATTCAATTATAATCCTGTTTTTCCACACAGAAAATATTCTAGAAATGTAATGACAAGATGACAATGGACTAAAAATCAGAATTAAATATGAGGAAGCATTTCTTTCAGTAGATTTGGCACCTTCTGGAATGGATTGTTAATGTATTCAACAAGTATAAGTCCCCTCTAGTTCTCTGTAAGCAAACTAAACAGATTCCAGAAAGTAAGGCACGTCCATGACAGAAGGCAAAAAAAGGATCAGTTTGAGTTAAAAGTATTTGAAATACCACAGTGTCCTGGAGCCTTAGGAAGTTGTGGTCAATTTCCCAGAGTTTTTACTGGCCCAGGACATTCTGTTAGGATTTGGGAGGGGCTGATGGGTCAGTGTTCTGTGTGTGCTATATCTGGATGGGGATGATGGAATTATAATGAAAGTCTACATGGCAAAGTAAAGGTAAAGTAACGTGTCTCACCCTTCTTGACCTATCTAACATGTGACATGATTGACCACACCATTTTTTCTCTTCCAACGCTTCTCCGTTGTCATCCAGCTAGTTGGTTCTATTCTTATCTATTCAATTATAGATAGATAAACACCTGCAATGGCTTCACTTCCCATTTCAAAACCATCATCTCTCCCCCCAACCAAGGAATTTTTGTCCCCTCTTATTTTGCATCTGAATGCTCTGTCTTAGTAAAATCATTCTAAAGCACCAATAATTTCATATGTACATTGGCAACACCCAGCATTACCACACCACCCTCTTTCTCAATTCCTCCATTGTTGCTAAATTATCAGATTGCATATTTGGACTCTAGTGCTGGATGATCAGAAGTTTCCTCCAATTAAACACTGGCAGGACTGAAACCATTGTTTTCCATCCCCACTCCAAACTCCAGTCCCTAGTTATCAATTCCATTTCACTCCCTGGTACAGTTAAATTAAACTAGTCTGACCCAAGATGAGTTCCTGACTGGTTAGCCATCACTAAGACCACTTATTTTCACATCTAATCATGCCTGACTTTTGTCCTTGTATCAGCTCACCTGCTGTTGCTCATTCCGGTCTTTCATATCTCTGGACTTGACTGGTCCAATGGACTCCTAGTTAATCTCTCACATTCTATTTTGTATATTTAAGGTCATCCAAAACACTGTTCACCCCCATATCATAACTTGCACCACATCCAAATAAATTATCATCCCTGTGCTCACGAGCATGTATTGATTCCCAGTCAAACAACATCTCAATTTTAAACCTCTCATCACAGTTTTTAAATCACTTGATGGCATTGCTTCCCCCACGTCACTGTGATCTCCTGTAGACCAATAAATCCCCAAGATATCTGCACTCAACTAATTCTGGATAGTTGAACACAAGTTTAATTAGCCTAATGCTTGTAGTTATGCCTTCAGCTGCCTTGGACACAACCCTGGTATTTCCTCTTCAAACCTCTCTACCAGTCTATACATTTCCTTTCTTTAAGTCTCCTCTTGAAATCCACCCTTTTGACCAAGCCTTGGTCATCTGACCAAATACTTTCTCATTTGGCTCTATGTCATGCTGTTTTAAAATGCTCCTGTGAAGCAATTTAAATGCAGTATACAAATGTAAAAGTGTTATTGTTGTAGAATTGTTAACAGGAAAAGAATCTCTCCCCATCTTATATGTCATCTTTTCTGGTTGAGCAGACCCATTGCGTGTGGGATAAAGAGATGCAAATAATAATGTAACGTATGATCGAATCAAACACCAAGGCAAATGTCGTGTAAAGGGTTAATGTGAATATGTAAATATGAAACTTTGCAATACTGTTGGGAAGTGATGCAAGATTACATGAGTAATAGGTGATGGTATTCTCTGGCGACCTCGCAGTGGAATGAAATCTTGACCTGTATGTCGTTAGTGTTTATTACATTTAAATAAAAAGGTCCTGTTTGACCCTAGAGCAAAAGACTCCTGTAAAATTTACCCACCTCTTCTCCAGACTCAAATGCATGCTCCCCCTCTAAGTTTAAAATTATTGGCATCTGCTGTTGGGAGGCGCCTAACTGTCATGAAGCATTCTTTCTATCGATGCTTCCTCCAAGTAGCGATGCACTAAAGTTCAGTATTTCCACTGAAGGGGCAACTGGAATTGTGAATTTCACACACATAGAATCACTCAGCTGAAATTCTTATAAGCAGGCAGTAGAACAAAATCCTTAAAGCAGTAACACTTCAAGGAGACACAGGCAACTGCACTAATTCCTCTTGAAAGTTCCACAAAAAGAGACATTGGTCCTAAAATTCTGTCCATGACCTGGACACACCTTTTGCTGAGGTATGATTGCTGAGCAAGTGCAAAACATTTGGGATCTGACAGGATCCCATCAGGAACCTCTAGTGTGGGGGCAGAGGAAAAATCTTTATTTGAACTGCTACAGCTTGGGGATGTGGCTAGGCAATTTCAGGAACTTCTCTGGGACATCTTTCCAGTATGTTACCTGACAGACTCAATAAAGCCGTGCTTGCATCAGATTGTTTCTGTCATCTTCCAAATGTCTCAAAATGGTTGAGTTAAACATGTTTTATTACCTATAGAGATTGATTCCCAATTTATACCCCCTGTACTTTTGAAGCCTTTGATTTCCTCTTGGGAGTGGTAGGAGGCTGCTCCATTTTTTCGTCACTTTATCAAGAAAGCTCTGCTGGTACTCTCTCACAAATATAGCCCACTATCCACAGTATGAGGATAATCCAACTCTTCAGTTTTGGTGACTGTAATAACGCATGAAACCCAGCTGCAAAGGAGCATCATTTATTGTTGAACACCAAAATAGGGGCAATACTTGTGGGCATACATAGGCTAGTCCCAGTCTAGGACTGACAGTTCCACAGAGCGATCTCTGGGTCTGCTTTTTTTTTAATCAGAGGGTCTATTTTATTTTTTTCTGAAATCAGCCTGTTCAGAGTTGTTATTACACACCTCTAGAGCAGGTGAGACTTGAACCCAGGTTTCCTGGCTCAGAGACAGGGATGCTACCACTGCACTACGACAGCCCTATTGGGTCTGCTTTTCTGCTTTTTTTTTTACATATTTCTAATCAATCCAGTCAGAGATGTTATTACACATCTGGAGTAGATCAAACTTGAACCTAGGATTACTGGCTCAGAGTGGCTCACTACCACTGCAGCACATGTGCCACTCTGGGTATGCTTTTATTTTTAAATCATTCTGTTCAGAAGTGTTATTACACACCTCTGGAACAGGTAGGACTTGAACCAAGGCCTTTTCACTCTTATGTAGGGATGCTACCACTGCACCACAACAGCACCTCTTGGTCTGCATTATTTTTTTCTTTTTTTAAACCGTTTCTTTCTGGGTCTGCATTATTTCTTCTTTTTTCCTTACCATGACATATTTTTGTATTTTTTAACTTGCTAACCACCACCAGTAAAACACCCGTGTAGCTGAATGGACATTTACAAGCAAAGCCGATTATGGGCAATGCAAACCATCAAAAGTGAAGGGGTAGGGATAGGGATATAGTCTGCTTTATTCTGGGTTTGCATTTGCTAATTTAACCTATTTTTCAAATTTACCTGTTCAGAGATATTATGACACATCCCTGGAGCAGGTGGGACTTTAACCCAGGCCTCTGTGGTCCAGGGGCAGGGACACTACCACTGCATCACAAAAGGGCAGGGATCTGCAGCTATTGTTTTGGCTCCATTCCTTTTTTTTTTAATTCATTTGTGGGATATGGGCATCACTGGCTGGCCAGCATTTATTGCCCATTCCTAGTTGCCCTTGAGAAGGTGGTGGTGAGCTGCCTTCTTGGACCGCTGCAGTCCACCTGCATGGGTTGACCCACAATGTCATTAAGGAAGAAATTCCAGGAATTTGAAGGAACAGTGATATATTTCCAAGTCAGGATGGTGAGTGGCTTGGAGAAGAACTTGAAGGTGGTGGTGTTCCCATGTAACTGCTGCCCTTGTCCTTGTAGATGGAAGTGGTTGTGGGTTTGGAAGATGCTGTATGAGGATCATTGGTGAATTTCTGCAGTGTGTCTTGTAGATAGTACACACTACTGCTACTGAACATTGGTGGTTGAGGGAATTAATGCTTGTGGATGCAGTGTCAATCAAGCGGGCTGCTTGGTCCTGGATGGCGTCAAGCTTCTTGAGTGTTGTTGGAGCTGCACCCATCCAGGCAAGTGGGGAGTATTCTATCACATTTTTGACTTATA